AATCGAGCCAACAAAATGACGGCGCCAAAGAGCTTTCATTTTCATTCTATGGACGGGACATTTGTTGGAATAATTTATGTGAAAGGATGTCTCGCGAACGAATAAATATTAGGTCGTTCGAGAATAATAGATAAAAACGATCAACGACAGAAAAGACATTATTTGCAAGGCACAGAGAGAAAGAAAATTGATCGATAACCTCGATCCAAGTTACGCGCTAGAACAGAAGCTCAATTACGAGGCTCGCCGAATTTTTCTCATCTTCGTTTGATCCCCGACCCGTCGAACCGTGTGTTTGACAGGACGAACTAGGCCAGGTCGAATTCGAGATGGAAGGATCACAGAGAGGATAGGATAGGATAGACAGAGATCAGTGTCAGGTGAAATAAGTAAATTTAATTAAAGCCCGGTATGATGGATGGCTGGGCGAACGGTACGGCCGAGTGGACAAAGAGATAAGTGGATTTTATTTTCACCTCGTGAAAAAGAATTTTTGAAAAGACCGTGTCGGTCGCATCGGCCAACACCAGCAAGGGGCGACTCAAACAAACGATAAAACGGAAGCATACGAGGCCGTGTAATAATGTAAATGCACCTTGCACGTTGTATAAACGATAAGATAAAGAATCTTAACATGCAGCGACTAAGCGGAGAGGAACGATTAAGTGGCGTAGCGTTAAAAACCAGCCAGCATAATTAATTAATCGAGCAAAGTACCGAGCACAGGACTTACATAAAAAAGGCAAAAGCGAAACGACCGAGCTTCTCCAACGACTGGATGATATGCGAGTTATTACCAGCCGTGCTCCGGCCAATTATGCAGCTACTCTTCGCTAACGAAATTTCCCTCTCAACGCGGCGGAATTTTCTCCGATGAATAATCCGTGAAATAAGCTGATTTTTCATCGGCGGGATAATTAAACAGGTAAACGACATTACGATAATAATGATGATTTTCGAATTTGGCTATTTGGCTCTCCGCAAGGAGGGGAGAATCAGGAAAGCACGGAGGTGTTAGGCGAGAGAAGAGATGGAAGAATAAAAACAGAAGGAGAGAAGGAAAAAGGAACGTAGAGAATGAACGTCGTCTCTGGCTCGGACTTCAAAGTGCCTTTCCACCTCGCGGAAACCAGTGCTGCGGGAAACAGTGCAAATAGAAGGGACGAGGTAGTACGCAAAGAAAAGGGAAAATGGTAGACGGCGCCGGGACAGAAGTAGTATTAATTTCCTCGAGCCCGGAGGTCCTGGCACATCATTCTCCGGCAGACAGCAGGAAAGACGAATCCCTTTCGCTTCCCTTCAACCGAGTCCGTCTGCCTTCCCGATATTACCAACATTATACACGTTGGAGTTCTCGTTTCGTTCAATCCAAAAGCGTATCGTTCCTACGTACCAACGATTCGTTGCGTGATATTTCGTGAAAATGTCCCCCCGATTGAGCAATTCCAGCTATTTTTTCGCAATCATCGGTTCCCAAAAGAAAGAAAACAAATCGATTCGACTGTCGTTCGTGAAAATCCTGTCACGCGAATCTCACCCTCGATGGAGACCTGTCAAGCCTCGTCTATAACGGCTCGATGCTAAGCATGACAGACGTGTGAACGAATAATAACATCGGGGCGGCGAGGTGCGGGAGGAATTTCTCTTGAAATCCGACTGGATTTTTCGAGATACGCTACCAGCCATAAGTATTTGGGTACTTGGACATTACAGTAGAATTCCATTTATTTGATCTCGTTCGGCCAACAGTTTATATAATTGGAGTTCGTTCAATTTTTTCCACTATATAGCATTTCTCGTTCGCACAATAGGAGCCCGCTTCAGATTAGCAGATTCAGTCGGCAAGGATTCGCTCTAATCGGATATTACCTAAAATTTCGTTCCGATAAACGGAGTTCGGATACAGTGGCTACACAAAATATTTCTACACCGTTGTATTTATCATATTTATACACTAGTTAATTAAGTTAATCATTTATATACTAGTTAATTAAGTCCAAGCATATTAAATTTCGTATCATCTAATAGTATTTCTACGCGACTATAAAAATTCGAAACGTGGAACAATGAAAACGAAATATAGAACCCTATGAAAAGATCCTTCGTTGAAAAATAACGGCACGTTGAAATAACTTTTGCAACCACCGTAAATGCAATTCTGTCCTACTGCAAATATGCAAAGTGCACAGTGGCCCACGAAAGTGTTCGAATACTTACTTTTTAAACTTTTTACGGATATACCAAACGTGTAATACGAAGATTTATTACTACTAGCTTGTTGTTGCTTGTGATCTATAAACCTTCACTAATAATACTCGTTCAATTTCCAGCTAGAAGGATATCCAAATACTTAGGAACTTATATAGCGCACGGTCGAATAAAGACGCGAATTTATTAAGAACTCACGTGCCTTCCGACGAATCGCGAGAAGCTCGTTCGTCTTGCCGGTAGCGCGCTAATAAACGATTCGCGTTAACGATTGCATCGTGACAACCGGGCATTTTTTACGCTCGTAAACACTCGGCCGTTATTTGTGTAAGAAAAGAGCATTACGGAAGACAAATTTCCCTTTGTTTGCCATTAATTTCTCCGGGGATCGGGACGAGGATGAACGAGGGAAAAGTTAAGAGTAGCCGGCTAACAGATTCGCAAACAGCTTTCATATTTTTACGTACGCCGCTGCCGCCGGACAGGCCGAGGGTATCGCGTTCCGTTGGAAAAACGAATGGCCGGATGTGTTTCCGCTGTAAACACGATTTTTCCTCGAGAATACCTCTCGTAGAGGGATTCCCCTTTCGCTGGTACTCGTCGGACGGAGTAATAGGCAAGGAACTCTCTGCGAATCCGCTTAATCTTTCGGTAAACTAATAAAACTTCGTTAAGGCTGTCGAAGCTTCACTGGCATTTCCATCACGGCCTTCGAATGAACGCGACCGATTTGTTCGTTCCTCTTCCTCCACTTCGGCTATGAAGTCGAAGGTGAATTCGATCATAAGTACTCTCTGGAATGAAGTTCGTTTTCGTTCCACGAGGGAGCAGAGAGAAATCGAATTAATGGAGGAGAATTCCCGAAATTTAAGAACGCTCCCTAAAGAGGCATCTTTAACTCGATATTGCTTCGATACAACGAAGAATCTTTGTATCAGGTTGACGTTGACGAAATCATATTTTTACGATGGAACGAATCTCGATTATTATAGAACAGCGATTGATGGAATAACTCCCATAAGTGGATAAGTGGAAATTGAAAGAAACTTTTACATTTTTATTCGGCAGTTTTCGTTCCCGTTCGATATTAATATTTGAGTCGCCCAGGGGCCACGTTAAAAAACATTCGGAATAACGATTAATGGAACGATCGATTAATGGAAATTTTGAAGATGAACGCTTTTGATTACGAGAGAAATTGAAAGACAAGAATAGAAATTGGAAGAAATTTGTACATTTTTATTCGCAAGTTTTTGTCCCTGTTTAATATTAATATTTGAATCGCCCGCAAGCCACATCATTCGGAATAACGATTAACGGAACGATCGATTATCGGAACATCGATTAATGGAAATTTTGGAGCTGAAGCCCTTTTATTACGAGGAACGTTGGAAAACGAGAATAGAAATTCCAAGAAATCTTTACGTTTTTCTTCCAAAGCTTTTGTTTCTGTTTGATATTAATAATCGAGTTGCATAAAGAACCTCGATTGGCGGAATAACGATTAATGGAACGATCGATTATCGGAATTTGGATTAACGGAAATTTTTACCTTTTCTGAAAATATAAAATAAATTTGTACAACGCTATTTTATGAAAAGTAACGGTACTTGCTGATATTTACAGTAACTTGCTCTTACACCGTTATGATTCTCAGTCAATTTCGAAGAAACTTTCCTATCCGTTATGACGATCGATTGGACGCGTTTCTATAGCGAAATAATTTTCGCTGGGAGCCTGAGGTACCACCGCAATGGTTTATAAACTCGAAGGGAATAGCGTCACAGCTATCAGGCTGATTTACAATGTTTGCTCCCAAGGGTAAACCGTTAGTTTCTCGTCCTCTATTATCCCGGTGGTTTGTACACCGAACATAATCTAAATGGAAGGAAGAAAACTAAACGCGAACAAAACACCGACAGCTTTTTAACGCAAAGATGGGTTTAATCATCCTGGAACTATCAATTATCGTTTAAGCAAATCAAACAGAGAAAAAAGGACGCTAAATATGGAATCACTTATTACATTACGTAGCTGACGATAATGTTATATTATATTAGGTTGTCCGAAAAGTTTCTTTCGTTTTATAAGGAAATAATAGACGCACAATGTTTTATCGTAGAAAAGTTAACTTAACTCCAAATAAAACATCACTGCTTGTCCTTACTCTAAGACCCATATAAGTTACCACATTAGTTTATTGATTTATGCACGAAATAGAACCGAATGGATCATACCTAATGCGATAAAATAATATAAAACAGAAATTGTTGTTCATCTATTATCATCTTATAAAACGAAAGAAACTTTTCAGACAACCTAGATTATACGTTTTAATATCATTGTATATCCACAGTTGCGCACGATAGTATTTGGACTCTTATGTTGTAGAAAACACTGAAACTGTATGAACGTTATAATAAAATCTCGCTATCTTGATCGTATTGCTGATATATTAATTAATAGGACTCTATATTCGGTATGTCTCACGTATTTAGGATGGCTATTTATGCTGCATACTAATTTTTTAGCAAATATATTTTTGCATTGAATATCTCGTAACTTCTACTTGCGAATATACATTTTCAGATTGGTTTCAAAAAGCCAATACGATTGTAACAGTCGTGTTTCAATACGAAACTAATGAAATTTCTTAAACGTTTTCTATAATACATTTAATACGCACGTAGAATATTTCCATGACAAATATTCAAATACTTTCATGAGCCACTGTACGACGAAGAAAAAAGCCGAGGACTGTTGTTGAACGTATTGTTTCTTTCGATTTGCAGGAGCCGTTGGTGGCGAAGGCGGAGACGAAGATGACAAGGAGAAGGAAGAGGAGGCCGAAAGGGAAAGGCAAGAAGCCATCAGGGAGGCTGAGGAACGAAGGAAGGAGAAGCATCGCAAGATGGAAGAAGAACGAGAGAAGATGCGACAGGAAATCAGGGACAAGGTAAGGAATAACACCGTTTCCTCTTTCTGTCTTTTGCTTTCTCCTCGCCAAGAGGGGAAGGTTGCCGCGATATAAAGCGCGTAAACGGAAAATCAGCTTTCGAAGAATTATACATCGAGTCAGCGTTAACTCTATTTCGCTTTACGAATTCAAAGGCTCTCGTTAAATGGACCAGTCTTAGAGGAGAACTACGGCTCTTGGTTTTGCCGCGCGATATAACAAACAAGAGTTTCGTAAATGTTAGTTCGTTCTTCTGCGAAACTGCCGACTGTTCGGGCAACTTCGTTCTAACGACTTTTGAAAATGTGCTCGTTCGAACTTTCGCTTCGTTTCGATTATAGACCTAATCTTATTTGTTAGAGGAAATGAAATTTCTCTTTCAAAGTTCAACTTAGAATACCAGTATCATGTAAATTGATTAGAAGTAAATTGCGAATCAAGTGGCAGTTGACACAGCTTTGATTCCTAACGGTTTTCATTCCGCGTTACCTATGAGGTGGATATTAAACGTGTTGGTTTGTTTATTAAAGGGACGAATGATAAAATTGTCATAGTCAATTATATTAAAATCACTTTAAGTGCAAGTATAGAGATAGTGTATGCCGCATTCAACTATTCGACTGTCCAAATGTAACTCCGGTTAACGATTACAAATAACGGCGATAATATTTTGTCCGGAGTTCGTTTACCTTTGAACCTAGCGAACGAAAACAACGTTGGTATTCCAAGGCACAATAATATGAGTCTCCCTCGATTCAGATCTTCCATTGACTCATACACCGCTCGCCTATATTTTATATATTCGCGACGATTTGAAGAAATGCTAAAATTGCACGAATTTCCTAACAAAATTGTAAAAATACATTAGCAGCGTACGCGTCCTTCATCGTAGAAGGTAGCAAACTATAAGCGGACTGTTACAACGTGTAATTCACCCATAATTTTTGTCGATCTTGGAGAAGACGTAACTAACTAAAATCTTTGAGCGAAGATGCGCTTACACGACGCGTTTGTCTGCTTGCGAATTGCAGCCGAAGAGCAACAAAAGCTTCTACTCGTATCAAAGGCAATTCATATTTCCCTGTCCTTAACAGCCTGACAGAGAGAGAGAGAGAGAGAGAGAGAGAGAGAGAGAGAGCTCGTTCGTAATACGCGTACTGAATGGGGTAGTACGTAACTGAAAAGCTGTATGAAAGATAAAATACTCCGGATCGAAAGTCTCGTGCTTATTTACAAATGTACGCGGGTGTGTCCCGCATTGGAGCGTGGAAAGTCCCGAGGAACGTAAAATACACGTGTGTATGCTGTATGCTACATACTGTATACTGTATACATACGGTATACACACTCGTAGTGTGTATCGAGTGCCTTGTAGGGGCCGGTGAAACGGTCGAAAATTTCAAAGGTCTCTCGGCACCGAGCTGTCTAAAAAGATCACGTTAAAGAACGAATATTTTTCTAAATTATCCCTATGATACGCATCGTGGAAATAACTCGGCAAAAAATTTCGATTTACGAGGCTTCCATTAACCTCGAGCCAGTTATTTCAACGAGAGAAACCATTTCAGAGAAAGTTTGAGAAAATGACACTGCGTTTCCCGTCATATATTACCTCTCGCCTCGCAAACTGCAAATTTTCAATTACGAGTTTCATTTTCCTTCGATTTTCACGGTGCTCTGCTCGCTGCTCACGAACCCCGCCTACCAAGGAACCGCGTGCATTCTTCGAGGACAAAGGATTCTCGCTTTTCGCCACGAGTTGCATGGAATATCTTTAGGGCGTCTTTTCATACTTGCCGGAATAGGAACACCTGGTTTCGTTTGCCAATGGATTCGCGCCAGTTGTCTGCATGATTCCGACGTCGCTGTTCAAACCTACCGCAACTTTCATTTATCGGGATGAATCCCTCTTTCTCCTTGCACGAGTATCAGTCCCTTGCATACTTCGATCATCATTACGAGTATCGTTGATCGGTCGACGAATGCCTATAGATTTCTCGGTTATATCACGGACTTGGATAATATCATAATCGAGCAGACATCGACAGAATTAATTCCACCTGCGGCTCTTTATGCTCGTTCACCAGGAAATCTAATATTTTATTATCACCTCCGATCTCCTTCCTCGAAAGTTCTCGCGTTACATCGACGCTACCAATCGAACCTCGAAAGATTATCGCGTAACCGTAATGTCCTCCGTCAGCTGCGGCAAATCTCACCACCCTTGCTTTCCTCCCAACTCCGTTTTAACACGTTCCTCTCCAACAGGGTGAAAAATGAGCTCTCCGTCTAGCGTTGCTCGCGCCGAGTTTATTATTGCCGACGAGGATCGATTTTTTCCCCTCGAGTTTTAAGCAACCTCGTAAGGATACGTTTGAAGACCATTCGTTAACGGCGCGTATCTCGTTCCATGCAGCGGCCCCGCATTTTAACACTAACATTTGTCCGGTCAAACGACTGGTTTCAAAATTTCATTTATTATTGTTCATTCAGTATTATTCGTTGTTATTTCCTTTGCTCGTCTAACTTTACGCAAATTCTTATATCAACAGAGACTGAGAAATTGATTGATCAGATAATGTAAGGATTTACACGAAGTTGGACGAACGAAAGAAACAACAACGAATGTACAATATTAAGTTAAATGTTGCAATTAATTTCGCTCGTGATCTTCAACGTCATTTTTTAAGGAACATACGAGGAATCAAATTTTTAAAAATTTATCGCGGAGCCATTAGTTAAAAAAATCCAGGATCGCAAAAGTCCGAGCAACGCCGGTCACACGCAACTATTTTCTCATTAAATTGATAAAAGTTGGCACTCTAGTTGCGTGTTGTTATCGCGTTATACGCGAACTATACGCGAAACCATACTGTCGCGTTGATCGACGAATTTAATGACCGTTCAGGAACGCGTATGCTAATAAGCGGACGCAGCCAGCAACGAAATTGAAACCGCAGTTTGATAAGGGAAAGGCTTCCAAGAATCGCGGCCAATTTATACCGCTGCTCGCTCGATTAGTCATAATGCGTGAGCTAACGCTTCTAAATTGAACGCTGGACAAAGCTCGGCTACTTGACATACCTTGCTAATTTCCCGTGTCAATACGAAATAGAGCAATTATCTAACGAAGCTGATTTCATAATTCGAGCAGATCAGAACGGTCGCGCTCGTATTTTGTCGGCTGCAATCACGCTAATTAGTCGTGACTGTTCGATGATACGTAACCGTTTGATCAACGAGAACCATTGTTCCTGGCTGTCCGTGGTTTCGTAATCGTCCGCCGATAATGACACTAACGAATAATCCTCGACACACGATTATTTTCACGCCACGGTTCTGCAAACTTTTCCAAGTGCCCAGGACAATTTCGATCGACGAACAATGCGCGATAATGGCGGCCCATTCCGCGCACCAGTGTCGCCAGCGCGAAAAACAGCGTTCATTTAACCGTTCGACCACGGCGTCACCCCGTTATCTCCAAAGCCGTTTCGCGATTAATGCGTTTATTTTACTAAATGCCACGCGAAGCGTTTTTCGCTCCCGTAAAAAATACAGATATTTGCAATCGACTGAAAATACTATGAAAGGCCGGATGAACGTTGTCGAGGATTTCATAGTGTTCGTACAGCGAAATATTTAGCGAGTAAATTAAAAATTTACCCCGGCACCGCTCGTAAATATTTGGACAATTTGCTCGATTTGCAGCGACAATACGTGAATTTCACCAGAATAATTACAAATTAGAAATTAACGACTAATTGGTAATTAGAAACAACATTTACTGCTTTTTCGTAAAACTAACAGGACATAAGAATAAACTCTCTATTTAGAAAGATAGTAATGACATATATATTTGACCATTTATATTACTACGTACTGTGGCTGACGGAGATGTTCCGACGTTTTTCACTATTTCTTTATTAATATGCTACGTCCGTTATACGAAGCTTTTTAAAATTTTGTTAGCACTGTGACGGTACACGACTATCCTGATTATGATAGCCAAATTTGAAACCAATCTGAAAATATATGTAGAAATTACACGATTCTTTTACGCCGGAAAAGAAATCGTTATACGGCGTGAATAGTAGTCTTAATTATCCTGGCTTATTAACATAACGAATAACCGACTGTTCAAATAGTCTAGTGATCTTTGCCAAGCATATTATTGTCCAACAAGCATCTTGTAACTTTTGCATACATATTCAGATCGTTTACCAACTCGACCAAAATAATCACGATGGTCATAGCATTACGTAAAAGTTTCTACCAAGTATTTAAATATCGCTGATTTTCTTAACATCTCGTATCTGAAGTTCGTGGTAAGGCGAGCAAATAACACGGCAGAAAGTGGTGGATAATTTATTAATTTCCAGGGGAGAAAATTCGAGCAAGCATTTCGCGATTACTATGTAAATAAGGTAAAATAGGCGGGACTGAAAAGAGAGGTATAATTATTCGTCCGACAAGAAGACGTTAATCCAGCAAACGTCACCGAAAAGATAAATCGTCCGAGATGGCTGAGTTTCATGGCGGACGCTTACTCGTTTGCACGTATGCAAGCCGTCTAACAAGAACGGTCCCCGACTTAAAATGCAAATTTGATTACGAAGCGGCACTGCGAATACGGCGAACGGTCCGTCACGTTCGCAGCCTGTTCTTCCACACCTAAATATGACCACGCGTAAATGCACGTACGCGTACATCTCGAACACGCCGGGTTTCTCCAACACGAAAGTCACGCCGAGTTTCTCCAACGCGAAAGTCACGCCGGTTGTTTATCACGAACCCGTATAAATCGAGCCAAGTGCGAGATAATTTCCGCTCGTGTTGCACGGAATTTCAGAGAATTGCGGAAACCGAAACGCGAATTCTCCGGCATAAAAAGAAATAACATTAATCAGAGATACGGTAATTTTGAATAATAATTACGTGGAAAAGGGCACAGTTCATCCTTAACATTTTCATCCAACGTTCCGAGTAATCTCATTTAACGT